TATATATATATATATATATATATATATACATATACATACCTCCATTTTTACAACAAAGGCTGGAAGTTGGTCTGAACAAAGAAGTTGGGTTTAGGTTTTTCATCCACTCGTGTTAGGATTAGCCATAGCCCTCAGGAAATGGGGAGAAACTTATGGAAGAAATTTTGTTAAATTATTGTTACGTTTTAAGGAAATTTCATTAAAGATATAATACAGAAAAAAACTTGATAAATGTTTCAATCCAAAAAAATTTAAAGAGTAACTTTGATGTTTTCTCAATATGCATTATACAATATATGAATGCATATTTTATATACATAGTTTTTTATTTATTTTTAACATTTTCTTTTTTCACAGATTTTATCTTTATATTTTATGAAATTTCTCTTTTTCAGGCAAAATTTTACGAATAGCATTCAGCGTTTCCAAGATCACATTCTCTTCACTTCATTCCCAATATAAATGCTCACTTTAAATTTTAAACCAATAAAAAGGTTACTACAAACTATAGAAGAGGATTAGAGCCACTGAAAAAATAATAAAAAGTTAACTGATTTTTAAATATTATTTCAGTTTAATATGGGAAAAAGTTAGAAATCTAGCTTTCATCTAAGAGTTCTGACTTTTTTCTCAGAATTAAGACTTTTTTCTCAGAATTAAGACTTTTTTCTCAGAATTAGGACTTTTTTCTCAGAATTCTGACTAAATTCTGACAGCTAACAAACATGTTAGCATAAATCCGTTGCCATGTCTGTTTTAGAGACTAGCTGTCTTGTTTTAATCACCTTCTGCTCTTCCAATAATGTAATAGCATCACCGGCCATTCAGTGGCCCTAATCCTCTTCTGTAACTAACGTGCCAGCAGACCAACAACAATGCGTCTTTGCTCCTTACTCCATATACTGTAAGAGATGTGATCTGTGAAATACAATTTTCAAAAATAGAAACTCGTTAAGCTCAATTTAAAAAATTGAAATTTGAAAAAAGAAATTATTAAAGAAAATACAAACTAATTAATACTATTGATTATGTATAAAACAAAATCTGACGGCAATTAGAAATAAAAAAAATTAAATGTTGAAGAAAAATATAAAAAAAAATCTTAGTAAACGGCAAAGTTACTCTCAAAACCTGTTTTTTAATCCAAATCTTTAGCAATTGTCTTTGTTTAAACATTTCTACAAACAGCAGTCAGGAGTATTTTATGCTTTTAAAAAAAGCCAGAATTTGGAGTATAACCCCGAATTCTGCTCCCCCTGTTTTCCCTTCACTCTGCTCACATCTTTCCAACAGAGCAGTTATGTTGGTGTGCTGATTAATGACAGTGGTTCCCTGACTTCTCCGAACGTCATGATCTACAAACAAACTCTCCATCCTTCACCATCATAATTCAAAACTTCAGTTTTTTGTTCTGCTCCGCCTGCACCTCTCGCTCTTGCTCTCTTGGGAATTCAAAGAACAGATCTTGATGTTATTACCGCATATGCCATTGGCGATGCTTTTCACAGACCGACAGAGGCGGTCTGCACAGATATGATGCAGACAGGAGAGGAAGATTTGGAAGCTGTCCATGTAATAAAACTTAAACTAAAGTTTAGAAATAAAAAGATTAAAAGAAAAAGATTGAAAATTTAGGCCAAGTTAACCAACCCCCAGTGTGCACATCAGGTATGTATTATAAAACTGGCAGTAAATTTCCTCTCCAGAAATCAAATCACACCTATTGTGAACCCCTCATTTGGTGTTTCACAGCCTCCCTCAGGGGGTCCAGACCCCCACTTTGGGAACCCCTGCCTATTGTTAAATTTAGTTTTTTTTTGTAAAGTGGCCACATTCTCCAAGGCAGTACGCAGAGACCTAGTGACCTATCAACAAAATCATCAATTTGTGAATGGGAACTAAATTAATGTTTGCACTCTGCCATAGTTTTCAGTGATACAGAGGAGAGAGAAAATCAAACAGATTATTTTAAAATGTATAACTGCGATATCTGTAAATTATTTGCTGAAGTGGTCAGAGAGGACAGTGTTTTGAGGAAATACTGTTATTTCTTCACATTAAATACCATATGTCAACACAAGGTCCAAAGTATGAAGATGAGAATGTGTGGGACTATTTACATTTTTAACAAAGCCAATCAAGTCTAAGATAGACTGCTCTGGCTCTGCTTTACCAAAAACAGCTTTGATTATATGATCTGGCTGAAGAACAGTATTGCTCCATGCTTTGGGGATTGCTGTGGTTCTTGGTTTTGCTTCTCTTTTTCACAGATAATGATAAAGAAATGTGCTTTAAAACAGTCAGTTTTGATCGTTTTGAACCTGTGGGAGCTTAAATGTGATGAAGTGAATTATTTTGTTATTAAATTCAGACACACATGTAGAATGAAGAAATAGTAGTTATTTAATTCTCCTCTTTAGTAGTGAAGATTGCAGACGGCATTTGCAGATGATGCTGTTAACACCTCCCTCTGTGAGGCCAACGGAGAGCTGCAGGGAGTTGGCTCATACGGTTTCTTTCTCCTATTTGTGAGAAAACCAAATGATTGGCAAACACAAGAAACTTCAGGGGCTGTGTGCAGATAAGGAAATGCATGTCAGTGATGCCTCTGCGTGTTATTTTGAGTGACTGCGGCTGACACTAGGAGCTCAGCTCAAACATGACACTTCTGCTTATCTGATGCCCCATCACATTTTTCTTTTATTGATCTACATGTGTTCTTTTAACCTGACAACAGCCAGATGCATGTCTCGCTCCACCTAGCTCCACTCACATACATCTGGGAACCCGCCATAGGAATTGCCTTTACTGAAGGCTGGGCCTTATCAAAACTCCTTGCATATGATTGGATAAGCCACTTGTCTGTCATCTTTATTGACGTGCTATTTCAACCACTCACACCGAAGCTAACCCGTGCATGTGAGAGGAGGAGCCATTTGGTAGATCAAGCTCTTGCCAAATCCGGTCGGGAGAAGGGCGAAAACATCGTTTC